ATTCTCAAATCTCGTATTACTATATATTCATCTCAAAATTCGGTGAATAATTGATGTGGTACTAAACACCGGTCACACCTTCCTTGGAATGTTTTGATGATTTTTTAACGTCAAAGACCCCTTATTTATCAGAAGGAGGTAACCTAATGACGTCATTTTATAAGGATATTTATGTATTTATTTCACTCTTTCTCATGCAAACGGGTGACTGGCGAGGGTTTGAATCCTACCAAAGCCAAAACTCATATTTTTTATCTGACTAAATCATGATTTTTCTACAGATCATTGGTGAAAGATTAAGCCATTGAAATTGCTCAATCATCAGCAAAAATCTCATCAATGCGATTCGTAGAGCATCATTACTAAAATTGAATAATTTATAATAAAAAAATCACAAATCCATCAAGTAAATCATCTCTGATTGATCAACGAATAAGTCGTCATCGGAAAGAAGATGATCCATGAGGAGATGAGTCATCATTTCCTAAGAACGTATAAGATGAGATGAAGTGCCTCTTCTTGTTACATGGACCTAAAGATAAAGCTCCTTAACATGCACCCCACCTCCATCCAACTCATTTCTATTAGGTGATAGTCGCCGAAAAGTTGCAAAGTTGTTGTTTTTCTACTCCACTAGGTGACAACGGTCGGAGACGATTTGACAATCTATTTCATCAATTTCTAGACTTTATAAAAAGATCTAGAGATTGTTCACATCATCTTTGTCCAAAGAGAGCCTTTGAGGTAATAGACATTGCACGACAATTCTTGCGAACGCTTAGGATTATGATGCATCGTTAACATATCGCTACCGCAATGTCGAAATTCTGTTTCACCATTTTGTAACTAGTTTAACTTTTACTATTATTTTTTGGACTTCGAAAGAAGATCCAGTGAATGCCCAGATTGTCTATGATCCTCTCAAACACAGAATTCTAGTGATCATTGTCATGAGGCCAGAACTCTACCTTTTTTACTTTCAGCTTAATTTTTATATTATTTAGTGATAATTTGTATGATGTCAAGTTTTTGAATTATTCTTCATTCAATTATGATTATTCTTCGTTTAATTTATAGATTTTAATTTGACCAATTAAATCGTCTGTAATCACTTACGTAAAAATAAATGGGCGGAACTTTATTTTCACTTGATTCACACTAGTTGGGCACATATGTCATCATGATGTGTGCACCCTTATTTCTATTTTTTGTTAATTTTAAATATATTTATTTTTATTTCTTAGTCTAAAATTTATAAAAAATTATATTCTTTACAATTTTTAAAAAATATTATTCGATATTATATTACATCCTTGTGATCGACTTGAAAAATTTATACTATTTTTGAAACTTTAATTGAATTATAATTAATATATTTGTTCAAAAATACTTCTAAGTATCTAAAAATTTACGTGATTTGTTATATAAAGACTAAGTCACGTGAAGTGCCCTTATATATATATTTTTAATATGTATCCAAAAGTCAATATATTTCACTATGTATATAATATATATTTCTATTATTTTGATAATAAAGAAAGTATATCTCGTTTTTTTAAAATTTATTTTACTCAATGTGTACTATGGATCCTAGTGACAAAAGTTTATTGTTAGATGTGAGTGTTGAGCTCCCTTGAGGTGATTATAGGATTTTTAATTTTAGACAACAACTTAGTCATTGACTATTTAGTGAATCTAGTTGTGTAGAAATGACCTGATGCCAAGTGAGCAATAGTGAAACCTAAGAGAGGTTTTACCTTGCCAAGTGCCTACTATTATTTTCTTTACATATCATTGAGTACTCTGAAGAATTATGAGTAAATAAATTATGACACATTTTTATTTTATTCTAATTTATAAACTCTACTTAGATCAATTCAAATCAATTGAAACATGAGAACAATAATGTTATGGGTTTATTTCTTAGTATTTATTTATCTATTTAATAATTCTGGTTATGAATTTTGAATTATTTTTCACCTGATTTTCTCAATGTTTTTGAATCTATGTACTTCAATTTATTGTCATACATACTTGTTTTGGTAAAGCATGTACAAAGTGTCATGATGAATGTGCTCTTTTTGTCATATTTAGAGGTTCTCAATAAGTAATTGAAAATATTTAATACAATCACTTCATTCATTTTCTCTTTTGTTTTTGTATGTGCCTTACTAAAAGTAGTTCAAAGCTTCCATATTTAACGCCTTCACCAGCATGCCGAGTGAGGCATTTGCCTCCACATTTTAAAAGACATCTCATTGAACTTGTTGTAAAGAGATTAGGTGATAAGTGGCTAGTTACCATTGTAAGTGAGTGCTTGAGGTGCTTGAGCATTTCTAGAGGCATAACTTTTGAATGGCAAACTAAAGGCTACAAGTTTTCTAGCATTTGATCAGTTTAGAACCTTGAGTCTAAATTAATGAACTAATGTTAAATTTCTATTGGAATTATTTAGAGTTGTGAACCTAAGCAGGTGAGCTAGTGCCTTGGACTTCAGCATATTGGCCAATTTAGAGCTATGAATCTAAGGTTTTGAGTTAGAAGTATATAGACAGCTGAAACCTTTATTTTATTGTTTATAAATTTCTTGATAGAGTCAGAGTAACCCAAAGGCATCATTAGAGGAAAGAGGAGGCATATGTGCTGGATAATTGTACAAAACTTGAAAATAAAAAAATATTGAATTCATCCCCTTCTTGATTCTTCTCATGGTGCACTTATGAGTGAAAAAATGACACATTAAATATGATATAGAAAAGGGATTAATAGGAGGTTAATGTCATTAAGTTAAAAATATTTATAATAAATTTATTTGTTATTAGTTTCTTTGAGGAATGGTCATTAATTTTTGTTGGTCCATACAAGGACTCTTTGACAAGTAGGATAATTTGTGTGGAGGAAAAAACCTCTAAATGATATGGATAGGTTTCAACATATACCAATATTGAGTAAAGTAATCCAGATATATTACTCTTTAAATATCCTTCATCTATAAAATATTTATTTAAAAAACTAAAATTGCATAATATATCAAATAAGAACCATGACATCATCAACAATCGACCCCCCTGATAATTTTTTTTTGAAGTCAACCCAAGATCATAGATCATATCCAGCATCACCTTGGTTGATGCCTCTAAGATAAATCAGCCACAGTTCCTAATAATTGGAGTTGAAAAAATTCTTTTAAATTTGTCAACTCCAAACGTAAGGACCACACGTACCTGCCTAACTGGCCCGTTTTAAATGATCGTTTTAAGTCAATTTTAGTGGCAGAAGCTTTACATGTTATCATCTATCCAAAACACTATCACTGGGCCCAGAGAATTATGACGACGAGGTGAAGTCATGAACGGATGAGCGAAGCTGATCGCGACGATGGACGGTTGTGACGGGACCGGATCGACCCGCGGAGGAAGGGGAGGATCTGGGCCGTTGGGGAGACGCAGCAGTTCAACGATGTACGCGGCCGCACAGTATCCCGTTTCCTGTTCGGTCGTTGGGTTGCTTCTAAGTCGCCGGCGGATTTCAACGGCCATTTAAATTAGTTAGTCTCTGTCATGCAGTTGCTCTCTCCTTCCCCACTTCGTGTTCTCTGTTTCCCTCTTCTCTCTCCCTCCCTCCCTCCCTCCCTCTCTCTCTCTCTCTCTCTCTGTACGTTGCGTTACGTATGGGTGTGGGGAAGGGGGGGCGGGGGGGCGCGCGCTGACCATGCAACCGTGTGGGAATGGTTGTATTCCCTCTCCTCTCTCTTTCTCTCTCTCTCTCTCTCTCTCTCTCTCTCTCGCTCTCTCGCTATCTATCTATCTATCTATTAATCTCTATCTCTAGCATCCCCATCGCCGCTCACTGTAAAGCGAGTCCATCGGAGGCTGCTCCGGGGGCCATCACGGCGAGCCCTGGGAATGTTTGAGATGGAGTCCAGTGGCCGGGGCCACTATCGGGGCACGGTGACGGATTCAGCCATCCGGATGTCGAGCCTGTGGGGAATATTGGTGCTCGCCGGAGTGTTATTCCCCTGCGCCCTGCTCTACTACATCCCTGGGATCTCCAACTTGCTGTCGCTTTCCGAGAGGAACCTCTCACCTCTAAAGCAAGCCAACTACTGGCGAGTTTCGAAGACCGATGATTTACCTGATTCGGTACGCTCTCTCTCGCTTAAGCTCTCTCGCTAGATTACTCCCCTCCAGCCTTACTTCCGCTGCCCGAGCATCGCTTCACAGGGTCGTCCATGGCCCCCGGTTGCGTTAGCTTCATCTTCGGATGCACGTTTCAGGTTATCTGATCAGAAAATTATCCCCTCCTCTTCGCGACATCACTTTTTTGACCATTGGAAACAAAGCGCATACATAAAAAATGATCGATTTGAAAATGGTGTAAGAAATGAAATGTCACAATATTTTTTTTAGACATGTCCAAGTGATGGAAAACAAAGAATATCTTTTACATACCCACCGAGTTTATCGACTTTTTCAGAAATGATAAAACAAAATATATCTCTTTGTACACGACCGCAAAACTATGGCACGAGGATAATTATTGGGACCTCATTCCGATCCCATTCGGACCTCGATATGTGGAATCGTCTTGCGCCATATTTACTGAAATTGTTTGGGAGACATGGCCAAAGCCAGGTGAATAAAGCAAGCGAAAGCGAGAGCATGCCGCCCATGGCTCCTGTCTCGCAGGAAAGGCTGGGATGAGCGAGTTATTGCCTACCAGGTGCTTTCTCAAAGGCGACGCTGCCACCTGCGTTTCAATGGGGACGTCCTTGTGTCCGTCTGCTAGTACCCCCAATACGGCGCCTACGGTTGATGTCCGCTTCCGTTTCTCGTGATGATCGCTTTTTACTCCACGCCCATTGAATTATAGCTTGAAGTGCGGTGCATTGTGTGTTTTAGGGCCTGGAATTCCTCTGCCCAGTTTTTTTAACGAATTCCGTGTCGCGGGAGCAGGTTAGCGACGAAATCAAGCTGAAGTTTGTGCTGAAAAAAGCAGCCATGGTGGATAACACTGTGATATTGACGACGCTGAATGAGGCATGGGCGGCTCCTGATTCTGTTCTTGATATCTTCCTGGAGAGCTTTCGGACAGGAGAGTGCACGGATGGGCTTTTGGAGCACTTAGTGATCGTCGCTCTGGACGGGAAGGCGTACGAGAGATGCAAGTCTATGCATCCCCATTGCTACGCTTTGAAGACTGAAGGAGTGGATTTCTCGCAAGAGAAGAGATTTATGACGGAGGATTACCTGAAGATGATGTGGAGAAGGATAGACTTTCTGAGAGTCGTCCTTGAGATGGGATACGACTTCATCTTCACGGTAACTTTATCTTTTCTGTTTCAACTAATTTTTTTTTAAGAACGTTGATGGCCTACGATTTTGAACATCGGATAATTTTGTTTATAAATCTGTTTCCCAAAAAATTCCGAAGGTCTCGAGATCCAGGGCCCACTAATCAGATGGAGTATTCATTATCGATTTCTACTCAAATTAAATCTGGTTTGTCCAAAGTTAGCCTCTAATGCGTAGCACAAAGTGCATAGCGTTGAAGCTTCTCTCTCTCTCTCTCTCTCTCTCAATCTATCTCTTTTTGGGTGACGTTCTTGAACCATTGTTTCACCCAGGGACCTTACATATTCGATGGGTGATACACTTTTTTCCTAGTCTGAGAATATGTAGTTCATTTCACTTCCTTCGATGCATTTCCTTGGCATTTCTTGGTGTATGTTGATGGCATATTTCTGGGATGATTAGTTCTAAAATTTCATGTTTATCCACCACATTCTTCTCCCGACCTTACACTGAATGAGTTTTCTTTTAAATGTTTTTACAACCATGGTGAGGGTCCATCGGATCAGATAGGATTAGGTATTTTGAACAGTTCTCGATTACCTGGAACGTGCGCTGACTTCATTCAGATCCCTCCTCCGGCAACATGCATTGGATACTGACAGTCACTACAATATGAGCTTTAATGTGGTCATCTTAGTCTTCCCTTGTTTCATGAAAGTGGTGGTGCTAACTGTATGCTGTTGAAACTTCTATGCTGCAGCTTGCCTGTAATCTAGCGCGTAACTTTTGCATTTATCTTACAAGAACTGGAGTCTGTTTTTCGGCAAAATTAATTCATACGCGTGATATGATGTATCGGCGTTTAAATGGCTTGGAATCGAATTATGTAGTGCAAATAAGGCGCCATACTGAGTGGTCGGGTGAATCCTTGGATCTAGCTAACAAAATTGCCTACTCTTAACGTTGGTGCAACAAAGCGCTGAGGATGAGGTTGCGACGGGTAAGAGAGGAAACCCTCGGATTTTTCCCACAGAAGTGAAGAATACAAAGGTGAAGCTCGATGCAGACGGGAAAGCATGGCCAACATCACTGTCATTAGTGTTTTCCTCGTCTTCGCCATATTCATTCATGAATAACCTGCCAGTAGTCGAAAACACCGAGTCTTCTTAACAGTAGGAGGCACTGTGTTTACAAGTTTTCTTAACAGCAAAGTATTTCCCTTCGACCAGGGCTTTTCATGCCTTATATCTCCATATATCCTCACAAAAATGTATTTTATAGTTTCCATTGCCTTTAGCTTGGATATATACACTGTTCTATCCAAACCTGATCCTATTGCATTCTAGATTCAAAATATAGGCCTGGATTCTGGCCATTTCTCCAACTGCAGACGTGTAAAGCTCAAGAACAACGTCTAACCTTCGTTGTTTTACTGCAGGATACCGACATTTTGTGGTTCCGGAACCCTTCGCTGTTCTTCTATCCAGACGGCGATTTCCAAATTGCATGCGACCATTATTACGGTAACCCCGATGATCTAGGAAACAGTCCCAACGGAGGGTTTAACTATGCAAGGTCCAGTAATAGAACGATAGAGTTTTATAAGTTTTGGTACGAATCAAGAGAGAAGTACCCAGGCAAACACGACCAGGATGTGCTTAACTTCATAAAAGGCGACCAGCACCTCCGCGACATCAGTCTGGTCATGAAATTTCTACCCACCGTTAACTTTGGTGGACTATGCGAACCGAGCAGAGATTTAAACAAGGTCTGCACCATGCACACGAATTGCTGCATCGGCCTGACAGGGAAAGTGAACGATCTTAAGGTCATGCTGGAGGACTGGAGGCTGTACAGGGCCCTGCCGCCCAGCGTGAAGGGCCTTGGAGCGCACTCGTGGAGAGCTCCCCAGAAGTGCTGATAACGCATGTATCCCTTATTCGGAAGGCTAGCTCAGTTTTCGTTCTCTACGTTAAATATCCTTGTATAACTCTTTTTTCAGCTATGTATTCGGAATGCATATCTATGATCTTGCTGCTGGCAGTTATTCCATGTTCACTAGTAAGTCGTGATCAACTTTTTTTCTTCCACCTTTAAATTTTTTACCATGTTTTACAAAATACATGAAAACTGTAATGATGTCGAATGCAGTTTTGTTAGGTGCATTCGGCAAAGTGTAGTTACGAATTGTAATCCACCATACCTCAAAGTGAAGCTTGTTATCTCTGGAATTGTTGGAAGCTACCCACATACAATGGCAAAAGTCGTCAGGTGGCTAACCATTTGCTTCTCAATTGGTTTAGACAATTTAAATTCACAAATAGGGGAAAAAAGGTAGAAGAGGGGGACGAGGTTGTCATATTTTTCTTATGTTGAACTGGTGATATTCATGATGGGAAGATTAAACGTTTTAGTTATCTGAGTTAAATATCAAATTATTTGTCAAAGGTTTGATGGACCGTGAAAAGTTAACTATCAGACTTGACATAGCTTATTCACCATACATGTTTTAACATGCTAATCATAAGTCACTTAATATATTTAAAGCATTTTAAATGTTTCGATCACAAACTCCAGAACAGCTCATCCACAGTACATGCTATCTTGGCCAATAAACATACAATTGTGGACATAATTTCTCCCCAATATATTTCTGGGAGTTTGCATGACGATTTCATATTGATTTCAAAACTATCTTACTAGAAACAGCTTAGATCTATAATCACTCAGTAGAATGCCTCATGCTTCATTTGTCTACTTAAAACTATCACATTTTCGTTCAAATAATTTTTAGGCCTTTATTATAATTATAGATACATGCATGTATCTACTACACATGAGGATGCCCTTTAAATAAGGAAGATGACGGAACAAAGACCACTAAGAAACTTTAACGAAGTCGAATGTATGTACTTTTTATAATTTTGAAACCTATTTTCTGAAGTACGTCATTGGGATATGAAAACATTAGTAATAATCAGACTTCTAACTGTTTCTAAAACTATTAAAGTGAGTATTAGATGAACGGAAGTCAAAATTTAAAAGATGGGGGACCATGCCCCACACTTAAAGGGAGGAGAAGAAGAGCATTTACCGACTCATATACTCTTCCAATCATTCATATAACGTACAATGAATTTTGAGAGCAAGAATATGCCAAGATCATTTAGTGCTCAACACGTAAGAAAATGGATGTACCAGAAGGTCTGGAGTTTATCAAGCAATCAAAGAAGAATATTGGAAATGGAAAGATATCATCTAAATACACAGCTAGACAGTACTTGAAAATTTCAATTGGTGGTATAATTATATGTTTTACTTGCTATAATATGCAATTTTCTATTGCATCAATTGGTGGTCTAGTTGTGTCTGATGGTCTGGAGCTATTAAGAATGCTGGAGTGACAATGTGAGAATGACTATTTTGGGTTGAAGCTAAGAGGGCCGGTGTCGGAGTGATTCTTATGAGGCAATTCGGCTATTATTTACAAAAGATTAGAGTGGCATGATAAGGCTGATAGTTATTTGGTGCCACGTATGTGAGTATCTAGTTTATATCTTCTAAGAGATGAATAGAAACATAAATAGTGAACAACTCTTGAGATTGTGAATGTAGTCGTGGGCAAAACGACTCTACAAGTGTGTCTCAATCTGTCTTTATTATCTAATTCTGTGTTTTATGCAAGTCAACTTTATTACAATGGCCATTTAATTATATATTAATTAGAAATTTAATCTTGCCATTTAACTATATTCATTATTATTATCACTGCATCTTCGAACACATCACTAGAGTACATATCAAAGAATAAATACATATTTGTTGATCAGAACAATGTGAATTATAAATGTTAATTAAGTAGATTATTCAAGTAGGTTTATTCATCACATCCTCCTCTTTACAAATTATTAGTCATTCTTGGTTCCTGAACATGTTAAATACATAATTATGAATTGTATTGACTAATTTCATATGGTATGAATGTGTTGCTTGAAAGCATAGAAGATGAACCTTTAATAGAGCTTGAAAACTTGACTACTAGAACTCAAATGAGCAAAATATGATCAGTCAAAGATTTGATGCATATACCTTGAGTCAACTCAAAAAATAGTTTGTGATGTCAATATGCTTAGTCTTTGTCTTTCGAATATTTTAGTTTCTCTAATTTTTTCATGTGTCTTTAAAATGCACATAGATACTATGACATTTGCAAGTAATTTTGGGATTGCATGTTCTCTGATTTCATAGATAGCATTTTTTTTCTCTCTTATGAGTCAGACTCCCCAATTTTTGAGTTAAGTCTCTCCTCTTTTTATGTGATTTATCTCTCTAAAATGCTTCATTTTGCTCTTAATTCACTTTTCTTCATTTAGGACTCTCCTTGTTTGACTCTTCTATGGATTTATACCTTAAAATTATAATAAAAAATGGAATAGATCCAATAATTTAAATCTTCATTCAATCATTAATCTAACAAGAACATATTAATGATCAATTTTTATTTTTATTTTATTTATATATTTAAAATCAAATACTTAAGCTGTAGTGAAATATTCACCAATTCTATCTTAGTTAGGTCCTTTACTAGAAATATTAAAGTTATATAAATTCCTCAATTTGAGAAAATCCTCATCATTTTACGTGAAATTTTAGAATTATAAAAAATCTTTTTTTAAGGAAAGATCTCTTAATTGAAACTTGATTAATTGTTTATAATATTGTGATCAAAGTGGATGGGGAGAATTGGAAATACTTAGTTAATTTTTTGATCTATCCCTTGAGTGGATGGGGAGAATCTAGATGAAAAATAAAGCATTTCACACGCATATTTATAGTGGTTTGGTCACTTGACCTACATCCACCCTTCAATGACTCTTATCTTTGAAATCCACTAAATACTTGATGAAATACACACTGAATTCATTTGCCTTCAACCAGATTTAACAACTTTACTTAACTCAAGATAACACTCATTAATCCCCTTATAGAGTCATGAATTTAAGATGATAAATTCTATGAGAACCCACTCATCTCTTGTAGACCATGGGTTTAAGGGGGCAACAAGATTAGCTTTGGCTATTTTTCTCTAGATTCAGTCTCAAGATCAACCTTGAGTGCATATATGCTTTAAACATAGGAGTTGAGCATGTCACCACCCTTAGTGACTTTCAATCCTCTGACTTTTTCATTGGAGAAGCTTGGCATGTTGGAGACCTTTGATAATTCTCTAAATTATTTGTCTATGATGTCAATTTTTATGTGTTTATACTTTATTTTTACAAAATAATACACATATTGATATACTTTTAAGAAAAATAAAGTTTTATGCATTTACATTGATTTATTGATATTTATTTGAAAATAAATAAATAAATGTGATTGATGGTTAAATAAGAATTTTTTAATACTTAGAAATCCAAGACGACATGTTTCCTAAATTTTCTATCATTTTTAGGATTTGTTTTCTGATTTTTAATGATTTTTTTCAAAAAAATTAAGGTATTTTTTTAGAGTGTTCATAGTTTATTATGATAAAAACATAATAAAAATAAGAAAAAGTGGAGACCTATTGGCCAGTCGACGGTCGACAATTGACTACTCTAATAGTTGAGAGAGACTACAAGCTAGGCTCAAGTGGCTCAAGGACACATGTAGAAAATATACGTCACTCCTCCTCCATGTCACTAGGGGGGAACTGGTGCATGGGCAAAGTATGATCGTGTTGCAATTGTGTTGTGTAGGGACAAACCACTCACTATTTCCTCTCCCTAGGTGGTCTTAACCATTTTGTTTATAGGAGAAGGAAGTAAGAAAACCTAGACTTATATACTCATGAAACATGTCGAAAAAACTAATGTGATACTAAACGTTCTTGAGCATTAGTACAATAGAGTGTCGGTTTACTGTCGACTTGCTTGTCACATGATTGACCTGGGTTTGATTCTTGTGTCGTCCATAGGTTAGTTCAACAGAAAATGATTGGAAAATAACAGAAAAATGAATGCTGATCTAAAAATTGTGATTTCTTGTTAAATGTGTCCAATTGATTTGAAATTTGAAATGAAGATATGATAGTTATTAATAAATGATTCTATATACGAAAAGTGTAAGTTTTGGTAGAAATTAGAGTAGAAAACAGAAGCCAAAAACTGATGACATAAAAGAAGGAAAAATGATTGAATCAAAACTAATTGAGAGATTTTTGGATCTGAGGAATAGAAAGGAGGCTCCTCACTCCTCTGAGGGAGGAGACAGAGGGTTGGCTGGAGTGCAAGATGCTAGAAGGCAGGAGAATGGGACTAGTGAGAAAAGGAAGAAGAAGGAAGATCTCTGACTAGTGGACTGAGAATTAACGAAGTTTTTTATATTTTTAATTTTTATTATTGTCTTATTTTGATATCTTTTCTGTTCTTTGGGTGATAAACATTGAACAGACAGACCTGCTTTCTAAATCTATTTAATCTAAGCATTTCATTCTTCTCATTTTCTTAGGTGACAGAAAAATAAAGGAGAGAGCTTTAGTTTTGTTGTTCTTAGTCTTCATCATTACGAATTTAATTAAAATTTCGATTACAATTACTCATAATCTCTTTTCTTGTCCTTAGGTGATGACAAAGAAAGAAAAATATTTTTACGAAGTTATACAGTTTAATTTAGATTTTATTTTTTAATTAAAAGCTTTCTTAATTCTAAAAAACTTTGTTGTGTAACGAACAACATAGTCTGATTTTAGTTTTAGAATTTATCTTTTGTCATGAATTTAATTCTTTAGTTTATTTTTGATTGACAATCAAGGTATTTCTATATTTTATTTATTCTATTATTATTATAGATCTTTACTTTAAATATTTTTAAACAATCACGACGTCAATACAAGCTATTCTATTAACAACCACTTTTCTCATTTTTCCACTCCCTAAT